CTACCTGCACTTCTGCCAAGGAACCTCATTCTCAATCTGCAGTTCCCCATCCCCTCCAGGCCTCGTCCCACCCTCTATGCGAGTGAACCCCACTCAGGGCACCATGATGGGTGGGAGCATTTCCCAAAATAGAGAAGTTTACAAATCCCCATCCAGGATGGCTATGTACACAGTCACCGGGCTCCCAAAAGGGCACATATGGGGGAGGAAGGGACAGCATGGCCAAGTAGGATTTGCTTCATTTATTAGGTTTGGCTGCAGTCAGAAGGTGCGGCAGGGAAAGGAACACATGGTGTGTAAGAAATTAAGAGGTATAGGTGGGTCCCAACAGCTGATAGGACACAGGTGGGAAAGGGGGAAATGCGAGAGATGCAGGGAGATCTAACCTCAACCCTCAGGCTCCTGAAGTTTGGAAACTGTCAAGACTAAATTAATTTCCTGGTCTTGGTGGGAGCCCATTGGGACTGCTATGGTAGGGGGGCCTGATATTGGTGGAGCCATCCTGCTTCATTCTGGCTGACATCCTCTGACCTAACTTGTCTGGGGGACACAGCCCAGATGCAGCAGCAGCCCCTGGAGGTAACTGGGCATCGAGACTAGAAGTAGGTAGACAGCAGAAGGCTCCTGACTCCCATATAATTGGGCAGGTGGGTGATATAGGAGATGGGGGGAGCAAAAGCAGAGGGAGAATGGCAGGAATGCTGACAGGGGCTTGCAGGGCATAGAGCAAGAAAGGGGAGATGTGTAAATGCAGCTATTTCCTTTCTGATCCCACTCTTTCTTCAGCTTGTGTGTGTGACCTATGGGAAGTGCTGCACTGTATTACACGCACTGGACTCTACCTGCTATAAACTAACATGCCATAGGGGTGAGAGGGCAGTGGGGCAGCACCACAGCTTGAAGCCAGGTGAGGAAGCTACAATGAGATGCATGGAGAGATCTGACAGGACAGTTTGCTTCCTGCTAATATTGGTAAAAGATGCATGGAGGGTGGAGATATCCAGCCAGCTGTTTTCCTTCCCAAAAAACTCTCGCTGAGGGGAGTTTTAAAGTAACTCACATTTAATATAACACATGCATATTTAGCCAGAGGCAGAAGGAAGTAGCTCACTGCAGCAAGTGGAGGAGAATTCAGGAAAGCAAGGGCCAAAATTTTCAGAACTAATTAAGAGATTTTTAGGTAGCCTGATTTTTGGCCACCTAGCCTGGGACAACATAAAGGGGCCCAAGTTTTCTGAAGGTGAGCAAATACGTAGCTGCAGACTGTGCAACGTTCTCAAAGAGTGAGCAGCTACAGCAACCGAGCTACAATTATTTATTATTAGCTTCGTATAATCCAATCTGCCTCTTGAGAGCCCCACAAGAGGACCGTATTAGCCCTGCATCAGCCACCGAAGTCAGAAACACAGTTTTCCTCTCCAAAGAAAAGTGGCAGCTTCTGTCCATCCCCTCCCAAAGAATCTCTCATTTAAGCCTAGGGAGGCCACACTGGAAATGTTCCTTGTGGAGCCAGGATTCAGACAGTAAGCACTTTATTATGCTTCAGGAGAGGCAATGTTAAGTGTGTAAGCATAGCATGAGGCTGAGTGGGAGCATGCCTGCACTCAGGCAGGTTCTGTAAATCATTTCCAGCCTAGGGAGATGAGGCGGGGCAGGGAGAAGAAATACACCCAGAGAAACAGCCCAGGCTGCATCTAGGCGAGAGAGAGAGAGAGTCTGTGCTAGCAAAGGTCATCACCACAGTTACTGTATTTGATCAGCAAGAGCAGACAGTGCTGTGCAGGGAGATCTGGGCCTGCCAGAGAGCCTGATGGAGGTGAGACACCCACAGTAATCAAAGTGCAGCGTGAGACAAAAAACACTGGTTTCATGAGAGCAATACAATATCACCCCCCTGGCCACCGCACTGCAAGGATGCATGTGACCATGAGCGCTGTTGCCACACATTTTACACGATAGTGTCCTCTCAGAGATGTGCTCTGAGCACAGCTCTAGAAGCCAGGAACTCTGTTCTCATCTTAGCTGTAACACTGACTTTGCAGCAGCTTTAGGCAAGTTACTTAATTTGTCTGCCTCAGTTTCCTTATCCATAAAATTGCAACAATACTTCCCTACCTTGCAGGCATGTCAGCAGGCTTAAATGTTTTGAAGAAGGCAAGTGCCATACAAATGTTCAGTACGGGATGCCCACAAGGTGGTTCCTTTATCCCCAACAGACCCCAGGGCAGGGTGCCATCTGGCCAATTTTGCTATTGGGGAGTTCATGCTCATCAGTGCTCTGCTCCCTCTATACTGGCTGCACAGAGATGAAACCATTAGAACAAGCACTTCTGAAACACATCTGATCTCTGAGGACACTCAACACCAAGGGGAAGGGAGACTTTGCTGCCCACCCACTCTGGCAAAAAGAGGGCATGGGGTAGGAATTGAGAGCACGAGGGATACAGCTGAACTGAGTAGAGCAGGAATGAGTGAACGCAGAACCTGCTTGAGAACGGTAAGAAGAGTTCAAAGGAGGAGCCTAGGTACATGTGGTAACTTATCTCAGAACTACAGCAGGACTGCAAGGCCTTTGTACCAAGCTGTGGGAGTGGAAAATCTCATGGTGACTCTGGGAGACTGAACTAAATAGGCTCCTTTGGACTTCTCTATTGCCTTTCACGACACCAAACACAGGGAGACGGACTAATTGATCTGGCACTGTAAAGTGGCCAGCTAGAGAACACTCAGAAGCTATTTCGCAAGCTTCTGCAAATGATACACAACAATTTCAGGCCAAGCAGTGAAAAATATTGAAACGATGGCGGGAAAAGGCCGTGGTATGAGAGGGGCTTTGTGGGTCAGAAGCTACAGATCTCAAAAAGGCAGCTTAGCTCCCCTGGTCACAATGGGGTAGTCTGTTACTCAGTTACTGAGCTCAGTAACATTCACTTCCCTAACAGAAAAGAACAATTCCCTTTACTGCTGGAGGCACTGGATTTGTTAATCATGTTGATTTACAGTAGTGCCTAAAAGTGCCACCCAAGAACGCAGCCCCATTGGGCCAGCAACGTATAAACACAGTAGTAGGCTGTCAAATGTCACATCTTCTATGTTATACAAAGAGGTCAGCATAGATTAAAGTAAAAAAAGGCACCACTGTGATCAAAGTCTATGAAATCTTATCCAGTTTGTCAGCTCAAGTAGAGTTGCAGATCAGTCACAGCACACAAAAGCTGCACCCATTTTGCCCTGAACTCCACTTTCCCTAGCCTATGGCAAGAGGCAGGTTAACAGCAGCATTATGGTAACCCACAGGCCTAAAGGCAAACTATGTTCTAGGTGCTATAAGGGGTTGTCTTCCTACCTTCACTGCAAACTAATACCCTGAGGCTGAAGTTTTAACTCAGAAGGGGCTTTTCTGAGTCTCCTCCATCGTCGGCAGCAACCATTTTTAGAGACTGCCAAAGTCCAGGGGCAGGGATGGGGCAGACCTTTCTGCTCCCTCTTCATGTTGATTTAAACAATTGAGAGCACCTTTGGTCTGCATGTTAGCTAGATGATCTCTGTCACACTAGAAGCCTCCCTCAGAACCTAAGCCACTATTAAAACATCATGGACTGTAGAAGCCAGTTTTCTGACACTGGGGTCCCCAATGGTTGTCTTGTATGGCATAACTTTAGCAAAATGGCTGCCACCGTGCATCACCTCTGTAACCTTTAATTAAACCCTTGATCGGTGGGAAGGGCTGATCTTTAGCACCTTCTGAAACACCAGAGCAAGAAAGGGGATGGGGGGGGGGGAAGGAAATGAGTTATAGGGTTTTTAATAGGGCATCCAGAGGTTTCTCGGTTAAATATACTCCTCAAAACCAACAAGCTGCTGCAATGGGATGGAGTCATTATCAAGGGCTTCTATGATCAAGACATCCTGACTGCTGTCTCCTCTTTTCACTAGATGCCATGAAGCAAAGCCTGCTGGGGAATGCTCTGCATGTCAAGCAACAGGATGGTGCTAAAGTGACACACAGCCAGCACAACTCCTGCTAGTTTCAAAATGGGAGACAGGGAGAACACATAAGCAGCACATGGAGCATAACAATTGATTGGATTTCCTGGTAAATATTTTCTCCCCCCCCCAAAGGATTTCACCAGTATTTCAACCGGAAGGCCAAATCTTATTTATACAGAAGTGGCACCTTAAACAAACCAGAAGTGAAGAGAGATAAGCTCTGTACAACAAAGTCAAGAGACTACGCTGAACCCCTGTAGCAAGACAACCCCTAAGGATTTGCTCGCGAGAGGAAGTCATATTAAAAAAAAAGGCAATCACAACATAGAAGCTCGCCTCTCAAGAGGGAGGAAAATGGTCTGGTGATTAAAGCTCTAGAGCTGGCCACAGGAGATCACCGACAACATGTGTGCCCTGGGGCAAGTCCCTTAACTGCTTTATGCCCCCGATGGCTCTGGAGAAATTAAAAGGGTCTCTCATGAGGCATCTCCTAGGCTGCATGGGAATTCGTGGCCTCCAAGGGAACAGCGGGGCATTGCCCCGGGGCGTTGGGAACGCTCTCTAGTCACAGTCTGAGCCAGCCCCTTGATTCACGACGTGGTTAAAAGAAAAACAAAAACCACAAACTTGTCATTTTTACACCTCGCCGAGTTTGTTCCAGTTGAAAGCGCCAGTGAAAAGTGCCTTGCAGCAGGGAGAGCTCGGCCCTTCCCAAACCGCCTTTTCCAAAACTGGAAGCGAGAGCTGTACCACGGCCCCCTCCCTCGCGGGGAAATCCCCGGAGAGCGTTTCACGTGCCCATCTCTGACTAAGCCCAACAAACACGGGCTCCGATCCTCCTCTGCTAGCCCTGGAAAGCTAAGAGTGGGGGGACAGGGCTTCCTTTGTTGCTGCTGCTGTTTCAGGTGCGCCTCCCCCTGCCACCCCCCGCGCCAGCAGCTCCTTGCTTTGGCCATTGCGCGCTTCTCCCCTGCAGACAGAGCCCGAGAGCCCCGCGCGCCTCCCTTTACCTTTTCCTGGCGAGCGGAGTCCCGACCCCCTGGGGCAGGAGAGCGAGTCCCACCTTCTCTCCGGCGGAGCTGCGGCGGCAGTGAAAACAGGCAGCGCGAGCCCTGCTTTGCAGCCGCTGCTCCAAACCCCTCCCAGTCCCCACAGCTCCAGCCAGCAGCTGCTCCAATGCTTAACTGTTTGAATAAACTCTGATCCTTCTCTCCCATAACCCAGAGACCCCTAGTGGGCAGAGGGACTATAATTGCCTAGTGTGCTCTGGAGGCAGAGCAGGTCTGTATCAGCTTGAGAATTTGTCTCTCTCACCCACAGAATTTGAGCCAATAGAAGCTATAACCTCACCCACCTTGTCTCTCTAATAGCCTGGGACTCACATGGCTACAACAACACTGCACTCAGCACGCCACAGTGAATCCCTAGCCAGAGAATAAGACTAATTTTAAATGTTTAAATGTTTTAATTTAAACTTCATTATTAGTCAAAAGGCCCAGGCAAACTGGTCATTGAAAGTTACCAGATACTTTAACCTCAAGAAAAGTCAGCTGTACAACAAAACATTTGTTCTGGGTTTTGTGTGTGTGTACACATGTGTACCTGCACACACTTTTCTGCCACATTCCTAAGTGGCCAGTGCACTTTGAGGATCAGACTTAACCCTCCAAACAGCTGGAGCAGGGAGTGGGCAGGAGAAGATAAAGAAGAGAGGGAGGAAAATGCTTAGCCTGTGATTTTTGACACACATTGACTGCAGTTGTGGGTGCCCAATGGGAGCCACCAGTATTCAGCACTTCAGAAAAGTTTCTGAATCCTGTAAGAACCTGATAGCCAACTGCAGGAGCTCAAATGTCATGAGTCAGTCCCCCAAAATTGAGGGGCGTTTTTTGTTGTTGAAGAGAGAGATTGTGGTTTTGGGTCTGTTCAATGATTTCCCCCCCCCCCAGGGCGTGGCAAGAACAGAATTGCCAACTCAAAGTTTATAGAGCAACAATTTTTACACACCCACACACTCACCCCACAGAGCTCTCCTGTGTGCCTGTAGGACTCCTCACTTCTCCCCAAGTCCCAAGATTCCAGTTAATTCTGCACCCCACCTCTGCCTGTCCCCCTCACCCCAAGACTTATTCACCCCAACAACTATCCCCATCCTTCAGTGTAGCTCTGCTTCTCCAAGGGATCTTCACCAACCCCCCCGCCCCTTCCAATTGTCCCCATTCTCTCCCTTCCCAGGCTAGTGGCTGCCAACTTCCTGTATTTTATTGTGAGTCTCATTCTATTTGGTGCTTTTCTTAAAGTCCTGGAGTCATGGGATTCCATGAGAATCTCATCTTTCATTTAAAATAAAGGTAAGTTTCTAGCCCTCTCAGTTACACACAAGATTGAAGAGGTTACTCAAGTGTCCCCCCTACAGGCTAAAAACTAGATCAAGCAAAACACACCGTTTAATTATTTTTTTAAAAGGCATGCATGATTTTTGGGGGGCCTAAGGCATGATTTTGGAATGCTTGGGGTTGCCAATACTGTTACAGCACCATCCCCCTTTGCATCATATCAGCAAAATTAATAGTGTCTAGCCAAAGGCTGTGCCCTTCTAGAGGCTCCAGCCGCAAGTGTACTTGTTTAAAAGACACTCGCTAAGGAGGTTTCTATAGTGAAGCCTAGAAATCATGCCATACTGGCATATTGCCTCATCCCTCCCTTATTTCCCATAAGCTTTTAGCCTAAATGCCTCAGCACTGGGACATGCCCTCCATACAAGGAACTGGAACAAAGAAAGACCCTTGTCCAATCCTCTTTCCTTCCTTAGGATACACTGGTAAGTGAGGGGCCTAGGTACACCACCATGTGAAGTCTGATATTCTTTTGTTTGCCAGTGGAGGGGGGGGGGAGAAGAAGAGGGAAATTAGTTTGCCTATATCTATTGGATGGTCACCTCATAACTGGATCTTCACCTCTGAGTCAGACTAGAGGTATCCCTCCTCCCAGCAAGGAGCGGAATAATAAATTAATGGTGATAAATGAAGGGGGGGAGGGGAGAGGAGCTCCCTTTTATGAACACCCAGCCAGCCATAAAGTCCCTCATGGTGGCTGCTTGCTTTACCTGTAAAGGGTTAAAAAGTCCTGCTCATGAAGAAAAGGGAGTAGGCACCTGAGCAAGAGAGCCAAGGGGAAGGCTAGAACTTTTTAAAATGGGAAGGAAGTTTTCCCTTTGTCTCTCTATTGTTCTCTCTGGGCTGAAGAGACGGGGGTAGCTGGAATGCTGTGTAAAGTTTGGACCAGGTATGAAAATTCATCATCCCTACCTAGAAGGATTCACTGAGACAGGGAATGTTTAGACAGACACAATTAGATTTCTCTCTTATTTTCTGTAAGGCTTGTGGACTCCACTGTGCTAATACCAGATGCTTTTGTGTGCTAGTAACCTTTAAGCTGAACCTTCAAGCAAGCTATTTTGTTCTTTTAAAATCTAGCAAAAGCCTAAGTTCCAAATGTATTTTCTTTTTGTTTTTAATAAAATTTACCTTTAAGAATAGGATTGGGTTTTAGGTGTCCTAATTCGTTTGTGCATGTTGTTAAATTAGCTGGTGGCAACAGCTAATTTCCTTTGTTTTCTTTCTCAGCTGTGTGTGTGTGCGCGCTTGAGGATACCCCACAGGAAGGAATTCCTAAGTGCACCTTCCTGGGATCTGAAAGGGGTTTTGCATTTGGGTGGTGGCAGTATTTACCAAACCAAGGTCAGAAAAAAGCAGTAACCTTGGGAGTTTAATACAAGCCTGGAGTGGCCAGTATTAGTTTTTAAAATCCTTGTGGGCCCTTACCTTCTGCAGAGTGTGGAATCAGCCTTGACATCATACTACACTTGATCTGAGGCAATGGCCCAAGTCAACTAGCTTATCAAGGCCTACCTAGATTTGTAAAAGAATAAATCCAGTTGGTTTACTTCATCACTATTCATTCTTCAACATAGTATCTCCATGAGATGATATTTGGAGGACTAGCTTCCAGCCAGACACTAGACTGAGGGTGGGAGCCGTCTCCATCCACAGATCAAAGGGGTAGTAAAATGTAAGGAAGAAGCGACTAGGAAGGAAGAGGAAGATTTTAAGTGCATGCACGTGTCAAAGTAAGGGGGTGGGACTGTAATTAGATTGGGTGGGGGCACAGAGCTTGGGAGAGCCAGGTTTCCCCACCTCCTTTCCTGATTCAGGGAGAGTCCCCTTCCTGTCCAACCTATTGGAATCACTGTGCATGTAGCAGGGGGGTGGGGGGAACCCATAGTCCCCACCTTCTTTCAGAACAGTGCTAGGTGGAAGGTGGGGAGAAGGATGAGGAACAGGAGGGCAGGGACAGAGTGTGGAGATAAAGCGGAGAGCACTGTGGGAGGAGGTCAGAGTCTGCGGCCAGAGCAGAAGTGAGCATGAAATGAAGAAATTGAAGGAGAAGGGAAGAGTAAGGGAATTAAAAAAAAAAAAAATAGGCTACACTAGGTCCAAGTGGAAAGAGGAGCACACAGATATTTCAGTGCCTGGGTAAGGTCAGATCCTCTCCTGTTTGGAGGTAGCCATGACACTTTGGATACAGCAGACTGAACAGGTAGTGATAATACACCCTCAGTACATGCTTAGGACAAGGCCCAGGGAGGAGTCAACCTAGTCTCACACCAGACTCCCCGCTGACAGTAACCACATGGTTCAGACTCTACACTGGTGACATAGGAGTTGTGCCTCATTCTGGGCCAATTGAACATTCTCACCTAGGTTTGGGGTAGCCTTGCTCACAGCACATCAATGTCATTAGCTGAGGGGGCAAGACCACCATGACACCCCTCACATAAAGGCATTTCTGTTCTCTGCCTGCCTTGTATCAAGACGGCCCTTCTCCCCACTCCCCTGCTGTAGGATTGTGGAAATACCAGTTTTCTGCAAGGGCCTCCCTTCCTCCAGATCCTATTACTGGTTGTATTATGGGAGCATCTGAAGGCCCCCAATTGATATTAGGGCCCCATTGTACAAGGCACTTAGATAAGTAGACAAGAAAGAGGAATAATTATCCCTATTTTATAGGGGAGGAACTAAGGCAGAGATTAAGGCTCTAGGGAGGGAGGTGCCTAAATACCTTTGAGGATCTGGGCCTAAATAACTTGTTCAAGAGAGCACAATGAAGCCTGTATCCAGGGCTGCCCCTGTAGGGGGTGCGGGGCCCAGTATGGAAGTGACAATCCATCATGTCTGGGACCGCCTGCACCAAACACCAGCCAATCACATTGGTGGCCTACAGGGCCCAGAGTGGTTGCCCTGATTTGCCATACCTAAGGGATGGCTCTGCCTGTATCAGAATCAGGACTGAAACCAGATCTCCTGTGGCTAAGGCACTAGACCAGGACACAAAACCATTTTTCTCTAAATCATACAGACCAGAGCTGGATTCCTTATTACAATCTACTGCATAAATAGGACTCACAAGAGCCAGATAGTCTAATACATGAAATACAAGTTTATCAAAGATTATACAAATCACCAATCTGAATAAATATTCTTTAGCAGCAACACACAAACCAAGTGCACCAAGTGAAGCCTGTAGCACAGAAATCCAGTCTCAGTGAGCCAGACCCCACCCCTCATTTCCAGGTTCAGCTGCAGCTGGAGGGGAACTAGCAGGGGGCAGCTCTCTTTCTACTCACAGACTTTTTATTGGTTTTCTTGGTCAGAAGTGGCTTCTCAATTCTGGGCGGGACACCTCCTTGGGGAATAGTCACATGGTTGAACAGTTTATGCAGTTCGTCGTCACACTTAATGCCCAGCAGGATATGCCTTGGCATGATGCGTTGGTACCCCTTTGCCTGGGTCACATACCCTGCTGCCTCCAGCACTTCAGCACTCAGGTACTGTAGCACAGAAGCCAGGTAGACTGCAGCACTGGGGCTTATTCTCACTGCATAGCGCCCCTTCTTCAGGTACCGGTGAACACGGCTCACGGGGAATTGCAAACCAGCCCTCTTTGACTGGGATCTTGAAGACCAGGGCTTTGCCTTCCTCTTGCCGTGTCCAGACATTCTGTCAATAGGCTGGAAGAAAGAGTGAACCGTCACCCAGTGCTGCATTGGCACAAGAGACAGGAAACTTGGGAGCATGCGTGTTAAACTAGATAGAAGCCCCAGTAGGAACAAACCAACATTCCAACACTCTAAACATGGTGAAATGGTTGGTGGAGAACAATGTAGCAGCACAATTACTATTACTCTTCACCTTGGAAGCAGGAAGGATGTTGTACACCATGGGATCGGTTGGTCACAACTCATAACCTGTGCAATAAGTGAGAGCCTAGGTCAGTAGCACAGGAAGTTAAAGGGTAAGTGTCCTGGGCAGTAGCTTTCATTAGAGAAGTTCTGGTGTCCAAGGCTGGGTGCCAGCTATTGTCCAGTATGTGAAGGAACAGGTATTGCTCTTCTGGTCTGTGCCCTTCGCAGGGGAGAATAGTTTATCTGCCCCAACCCTTCTTTTTCACAGCTTCTCTGAACACCTACTGCACCACCGTCCTGTAGAGGAGCCCAGATAGGTTGTGAAGTTCATACCTTGAAGGCCTTCCCCTTTTCTGGGGACAGTTTCCCATGTGGCTGAGCAAACAGGCTATCAGTAGGGACAACGAAGCCACAGGGGTGGAAGAGTCTGCTTGGAAAGCTGAGGGGTTAGGCTCTTCCTGTAGATTTTAATCTGTTTTTCCTCCCTCCCACACAAACCAAGAACCTACATCCCTCCCCATCCCATAGCCATACAAGCCATATTTAAGTCTAGTTCAGACACACACATAGCTCTTGGAGAGTTGTAGACTGGGACTTCTAGTGCTTTTTGCTGACCCATCTGTGAAAGGAGGGCTTTTCGATTACAGCAGATGGCCTGAGAAGAGGTTCCCTTGCCCCTTTGATCTTTCTTGATCAGTAGCTATTTTTACTATGGGAAAGGGGCAGATGCTTCAGGGGTTTCAGCTGCTGCACCCAGCAATGACCCAGGTGGAACCACACCAAGGCTTATTTGTGACACCTGGGGGTGCCACTCATTACACTGCCTTGGAGCAGAGCTCAAGACCTATGTTTGGGGCTCTTACATTGCCAGAGACAGACATTAGGAGCCACTAATCAGCATAACACCTGGTTGAGGGGGCACTGTAAGACTGAATATGCAAAACCATGGTCTCACCCTACACCTTGGAATTTGAAAGCCCCCAGAGCCTTGTTGATATGACATCTTCTGTAGTGACACAGCCCCCCCTAGTACATGGGGAACTAGTTATAGGATAAAGACGGGTAACAATTTGTGTGTGTGTGTGGGGGGGGGGGGACTCTGAACGCCTATGTTAAGCCATGGAGCATGCCCACTATGAACCAAGGTGAAAATTTCAGATTTGTATGGATTTGAGCAGCTCACTCTGAGCACTCATAAGCAGCACCCAGAATTACAGGCTATTAGAGGCATTGCCTATACAGAGCTCACTGGGTCTAAAGAGTTAGTTGAAGGTGAAAGAAAGAAAGAAGCCACACCACTTAGTTAGGCACTCAACATAAGAGCATAAGCCTGAAGTGCAGACTCAGTTCAAGGTAGCTGTTCAGTTAGCAAGCACATAGTACCATCTCACCAGCCACCATACATACTCACCTTTACACAGACCACACTTTTACTGGTTCACTAGTGTCGAGGTGAAGTTCTGTCTGAGCCAGCAGAACTATGCTAACAGCATTCTCTCTAGCAGGAGTTTGACAGCCATATCCCAAGTCAGAGTTTAGGGAAGAATGCTATGCCTGCTCCCTTTGGCAACAAAGAATATTATAGCAACCCACAGCAATAGCTTTTCACCTTACAAATCCTTTTCTTTATGGCTTTCCTATTGCTTATTAAATCCCTCCCAACATCATACTACCCCAGGACAGAAATCCTCTCCCTAGAGAACACAATTTCTTCATGCAAAAGAACTAAAGAAAACACAAGAGTAAGTCAATATGTCACCTCTAAGGTTTTCACACCATTTCCTCCAAGTAGCCTGTTGTCTGAGCCAACAAATGTTTCAGGAGGTAGCTTTCAGCTGGTCCTTTTTAACTTTCTCAGCAGTAAGTGCCTCATTAGCTCCACTTCCATAATACTTAGTCGCCAGCACCTGGATTACTGACTACCCATTCATCTTTTCCCCCCCTATCCCCCCTCAACTCTAGGAGAGGTAAAGGGAGATGCTAAGTAGAGGAAAATATTAAAAAAACCCAGACTGAGCTGGTCAATTTGCTGATTGGGAAAGAAGAAGTTGTCAGTGGTTTGCTGTCAAACTGTGAGAATGTATCTAGTGGGGTCTTGCAAGGGTCTGTCCTGGGTGTGGTACTATTCAATATTTTTCCTAATGACTTGGACAATGGGTTGTTGTATCTAAGACACAGCAGGTAATTGTCCTGCACTGCTCAGCACTGTTGAGGCCTCAGCTGCAGCATTGCATCAAGTTTTGGGGGCCAGACTTTGAGAAAGATGTGGATGTTTGAAGAGGGTCCAGAAGACAGCAACAAAAATAATAAAAGGTTTAGAAAACCTGACCTATTAGGTTAGAGAGTAGGCAAGGCTTTCTAACTATATGTACAGTTAAGTACTGGTATAGGGATATTAAAGAAGGTACTAACAGTGATTCCCCCAAGTGACAGTGACCCCCTCATAATTTGTCCCCACACTTTAAAATCCAACAGTTTCATCAAGTACAAAAATCTCTTGGGTCTTCTGTTAAAACATGTAAGCTATTGTCTGTAGAAACCATTGACTATATCTGTCCTGTGAAAGATACTTTATTACTATGTAAAACTTACAAATAAGTTAATTGACTTTGTTCTTGAAGTAATTGATACAATGTAAACAAACACCATAAGCCGTTAAGTGACTTTCACTTCATTCAATGGCTCCTAGGACAGACCCCCACCCTCTGTGATTAAAGGCTGGGAGTCTCAAATGAATTAGCACACACCCCAAAAGTGGTGGAGACAGTAAATTAAAATATGGTTAAGATATGGAATGTATGCTGATGAATGCTTAATGTACATGAATGGTTAGGAAGGTGCCAGCCTAGAAAGGGAGTATCCATCGGCCGAAGAATGTGTCAAGTGGACCACCAGAACCCCCGGAGGGTAAACTGGGATCCACCCCATCACCTGGAAGGATGAGAAACACAAACTTTGAACAGTTTGGAGCCACCAGGAATGTGCCCAAGAATGTTCCCAGGAATGTGCCATCTGCTGAGTCAGCAACAGCAGAATGAAACAGCTCCCATAGACTAACATAGGAATTAAATCCTATAAGAATGGACTCTCAAGACTGATGACTTTGAGTCTCTGGTTCTGCTGCCAACCTCCAGGAGCATCAGGTGCACCTGACACAGACTCGGCTCCATCCTCATGACCAAGATACCTGGCCAGTAATTTGGCATGAGCAACTTCTAGGCTGGTAACTATAACACCTATACAGAACTTAAATGAATGATTGTGTGAATAAATCTATCTATCTATCTATATGTGTGTGTGTATAAGGAATAAGTAGTGATAGGAATAAGTGGTCAAACAACGTTGTTTACTTTTATCTTTTGCTTTATCATTATATTTACAATAAATGTGGCATCCTTGCCTTATCCCTCCTAATAAGATCCTGCTGGTTTTTATTCTATTGGTATAACACTGGAACAGGTTATCAAGGGAGGCTGTGATCTTCCTGTCCCTGGAGGTTTCTAAGAACAGATTAGACAAACAATGATCAGGGATGGTCTAGGTTTACTTGGTCCTGACTCAGAAAGGGGGCTGGACTAGGTGACCTCTTGAGGTCCCCCTACATTTCTATGATTCTATATGTATAACTTTACTCACATGACTAGTCCCACTGACTGCAGAGGGACTAATCACATGAATGAAGGTATTTGCAGGAATGGGAGCTTAGATTTAAGATGCTTTCGGCAGGATTATTTTTTAAGAGCTATGTCTACCTAACAGCACTCTCTAAATAATTATATATTGACTTCTGAGTGAGAGGACTGAATCTACTACCATAGTGCCTATCAGTATATCCAGGGCCTGAGTCTCCACTCCACTCACCCCCGGGACAGAGTGAGTGTGATAGGAAGGTAGAATGTTGCTATGTCAGAATGATACTCTGTGACGCCCGCTTTGCACAGGTGGAAGTGACTGTGTCAGGTGCAGGAATTGGGCAATCAGGGCCCATGGGACAGTGTTTGCACTGTTTCACATTAGTGTAGTAAAATACAGTTCTCTACTCCCCACCATTTCCCAAACTCCCAAGATGGGGTTGCTTAGACTGCATCCCTCACGCATCATTTTTATCAGCGGAAGAGAACAAAATGTCCAAAACCTTCGGGATGATGATCTTTGTCCCATGGGAAAGTTCTAGTTTTAAATTTAAAACCTGGGGCATTTTCTTAATCTCTGGTTTGGTTTCTCAGAGGGACACTGTCAGGATAATCCACTTTTTAATCATCAGATTATTAAACTGGAAGAAGCCGAACACTCTTAAATTCCTCTTGCCAATGTACAAAACTTTGTGTGACCTTGTCTATTCACTGGAGCTACTGTATTTTCTCCTCATGCTTCTCTCTATGGGTCATCTCGATTATCACTTCAAAGGTTTTTTTTCTCCTGCTGATGATAGCTCATCTCAATTGATTGGCCTCTTACAGTTGGTATGGCTACTTCCACCTTTTCATGTTCTCTGTATGTATAAATATCTTCTTTCTGTGTGTTCCATTCTATGCACCCGAAGAAGTGGGCTGAAGCCCACAAAAGCTTATGCTCAAATAAATTTGTTAGTCTCTAAGGTGCCACAAGTACTCCTGTTCTTTTAACTCTTAGAAGAGACAACATATATTTCCCAGCCTGAAGGAGAAAGTATTTTAGTGTTATGATCCCAAAATGTCTTATAGGTTGTGCGCATGGGTCACTCCCCTACCAGGAAAATGCAGCCAGTTTGATGGTGGACCAGCTCTGGGCGGAGATCACCATTTGTGTCACTCAAAATCAGGGTCATCCCCTTT